GCTCTGTGTGAGCCATAGATTTGACAGAGTGATAATCTTTATGGCTGCAACAGGCACATGCAGATTCCCAGAATCTCCTTCTTGATTTGAAAAATGCATTTGGGAGCCGAGACCTTGAGGATGCTACCAGCCATGCGAGGATATAGCTCATCACAGTAAAATGGGAAGAATTTGGTAAATAAGGAGTGCAAATCCAAGCCCTGTGGTACCTGGACACAGACTCTGCACCATGATGCTGAAATCTGTTGGGTCTTGACCTTATTCCACTCAGAACATTCTACTGTGTGATGCCTGTGTGTAAACCTTTTGGCACCTCCATCAGTCACTCACCCAGTAACATGTACCCCAGTGAAGAGCTCCTATCTACAATTATGTGCTGAATCAAACTTCTGCCTTTATTTTTCCACAGCAGTTTGAAGTATACCTTGATTTTCCTCTAGACTGATGGAATCTTCACAAATTCCTACAGACAACAGTAATAGGCCCAGAACCACAGATTAGTATTACCAACATGGAGCTCTTACTAGGTGACACTGTCATTTCAGGTTCTATATTTGAATTATCTAATGTAAGCCTAACAATTTAAGAATTAAAGTTTTTGTCCTCATTTTAAAAATGAGGAAAGAAGCTGGGTGTGATGGCACACTCCTGTAATCATAGTAACACGGGAGGCTAAGGCAGGAGAATCACAAGTTAGAGGCACACCTCACCAATCTAGCAAGGCTCTAAGCAACTTAGTGAGACTATATCTGAAAATAAAAAATAAAAAGCGCTGGAGAAGTGGCTCAGTTGTGAAGAACCCCTGGATTCAATATTCAGCCAAAAAAAAAGGAGGAAAAAAGTCATTTTGAGAGGTAAAATAATGCTATTCAAACTTTTACAGCTATAGTCTTAGGTTCCTAACTCCTTTGATTCCAAGTTGTTGTTGTTTTTTTATTCCAAAACCTTCTTAACCAGTTTAGTATGGGAATTTTCCTCTCTACAACTTGGCTTCCATCTGTTTTCCAGTGACATCATTTGAGTACTTTTCCTTCTTTCCTTGGCCTTAGTCTCTCTGCAGAAACATTATTCCCAATGAGGTCAACCCTAAACTGGTCTTTGTGTTGGTAGTGTACTGGGAGGTCTCATGGTAAACACACTTAGTCCACTGGCTGTAAGTGCAGGGACGTGGACACAACCTGAAAACAGGTCACACCTGATCTTTCTGCCTCTAAATGACAGAGTCTGTGGGGAACCCTCTAGAAGGGCTTGCTTCATAGTGTGAAGAGCTGACACCCAATGAGAGAATGTACCTCTACCATAAAGTAGCATGGATGGCCTTAACACCTGCCAAATAAAGTTTGTGTTTTCAGGGAAAGGTTGGGCCACTGTCCACTTGCATGCCTCAAGGGATGGAAGCCTTCAAGCTTGAGAGCTGCTGGCCCATGAGCAGGACTGGTCATACCAATGTTTTATCTTTAATGGTAAAAATTAGGCTACTGCTAAGGAAACTAGGAGGAAGATAGCTAGCTTGAACCAGGTATCAAGGAAAAGTGAGAAGTTCTTAAAATATTAAAGAACATGGTAGCATCCCTTACTTGAAGGAAATGTTAAGTGAACAGGGATAATTTATAGGAGTGAAGAGTACATGGCTATAATCAGTAAAAATGCTTCTAGCCCCAAGTTAAATTATGAGGTATGCACAGCTTATCCCAAATTTCTTCATTTTTTTTTTCCAACAATTATTCTTCCTTTCAAGATCTTTTACTGTCATGGAATTTTAGAACTCATCATTAAACCATGACTCCAAGAATTTGGTCTCTTCAAATATTATGGATCTCACTCCTTATTTTTGAAGCTTGACTTGAAAGATGACTGATTCAATGATGGTCTATTTGGAATTGATATATAAGAAATAACTCATTATAGCTAATGAGCATGTTAAAATGTTTACACTTTAATTTGTGCTCACAAACATGGAGTATTATACTGTTATTCTTTAACAGAACTTAGTAACTGAAAGTTACAAAGGGGACTCTTTTCCATATTCCTCATATCTAAACATCGCTATCTCTACACTAAACTAAACATATACTGTATTACTGGATTGTAAAACTAGACCACTCATCCAGAAGCCACCTTGTCTTGTAGCTTCTTCCTAATGCACACATTTTTTTTTTCTTTTTTTAGAGAGAGAGAATTTTTTATTATTTATTTTGTAGTTTTCAGCAGACACAACATCTTTGTTTTGTATGTGGTGCTGAGGATCAAACCTGGGCCACATGCACACCAGGCTAGCGTGCCACTGCTTGAGCCACATCCCCAGCCAGCACATATTCTTTTAATGTTACAAAAGCTGGCTACTAAGGTAACTTGCCTTACACATCTTTCACATCCATAAATCCACCTGTGCTTCTTTCTCCCATGCCTTCGTCGAGCTTAAGACTCAGGTTCTCACCATACATTCAAGAATTCATCTCTGCAATGGAACTGTCCCTTCTCTTCATTGTGACTCTTTTCCCTCTGACTAGCCACAATTTTCTTACAATTCTTGACACTTACGTGTCAAGATTTTTTAAGCAGTATTTTGAAAATACTACCAAAGCAATACATAAATTTAGTAGGACTTGGAAAAAAAAGTGAAGGATCAAAGACAAATTCATCCACATATTCTCATCCCTGCAAGAGTAAGTAAGAATGATAGCAACAGGACTTGCCATCCCTCAAAATGGTGCATCTTATCACAGAGAAAAAGGGAAGAACGGAAAAGGGGAAGAAAGACCAAGATATAATCTGGGGTTCCAGGTAATTTAGTAAACTTAATCATGGATTATTCATACAAAAGGAGTATAACAGGAAGACAGCTCTGTTTCCATTTTTACAAGGTGGCAGTTTGGGGAATAACCCCGTTTCTATAAACCCAAGTTATCAATTTTAGCCAACACTAAAATATGGTGACAGAAAGCATTGGATCATGTAAAAAGACAAGCTGGAACATGTAAGAAGATTGTTCCAGAGACAGGAATAATCCTGATGCCCATCAGACAATCGGTTCCGCCTCCAGATAGCCCATAGAACATCCAATGTTAGAAAAACTCAGAAAACTTCCATCAATCATCTGCATACTTTTGGTACACTTGAATGTTCCCTGTCTTAGAGACAAATTATCCAGATGTCCAACTAATTTTTTTGGTTTCCACTTGAAAGCTTTGTGTCACCTAGGTCCAGTCACCATTGAATTAGTTTTATTCCATTTCCCCCATCCTTATTGAGCCATATTTCTGAAAACACTTTATTGTTACATAACATAGGCTGGAGAATGTGATTAATGTGACATTAGAGTTCACTGTTCTGCCTTCCATATATATCCTGTTCATTTCATATCACTGTTTTTATTCACATCTCTGTTCCTATCTTCTTTGCTTTCACAGAAAACAACTGAGAATTAAGTCCTCAACTCTTCATTGTATTCGTAGTACCATGTTGTTACCTGCATTCCACCTGATTCATAGATGCTTGTCTAGTGGCTTCAACTATAGCACCCAGGTAACCAGAATTCAAAGAGCAATACTGCAAAGATAAAACTCAATGCTAGAATTTTATCCAACCTGAATGTCCCTTCCCTGGTTCTAATGGAGATCTTTCATGATTTTTCAAGGTCACCATTAAAAATGTTGAAGGCTACTGGAACAGAGTTGAGGAATGCTGCTACTAACATGATATGTAATGTCATAACCTTGTGTAACATCCTTCCATGGTTGTCCAAAACCCAGAATAAATTTAGGTATATCCCAACCAACCATCTCTTGGCACCTGCAGCAGCAGTTCACACAATCTCAGACATTTTTCTGTCTTTCAGATCCTCAGAATTACACCTCTTGGTACACCTCTTTGCCCTGTTTTCTTCTATAAGAAACCCTCCAACCCATTTTTCTCCTTCCCTAAGCCATCTTCAGATTTTTAAAAAATATTTATTTATTTCTGCATTACAATTCTTAATACACCATTCATCTTCAGATCTTAACAAAAGTATCATTCCCTCCATTGAGAAAGCTTCCACCTTATAAGTCAAATTCCTCAATTACATGTCCTCATAATATACATAATTATGGACTGCAATATATAACCCTAAGAATATGTATTGCAGTCCATAATTTTTTATTTCTTAGATCACTGGAATAATGTTAAATTTCCCCCCACTGGACTATAAGCAACATGAAAGCAGAACCTCACCTGGTTCACTCGTCCTGAAACAACAAATGCCTAGCACAGTTCTTAGCAGAAAAGGAGGTTGTTTAATAACACTTATGAATGAATGAATACATGCATAAATGTGATTTTTCTTTTTGACTACCTGAACACACATTCTTTTAAAAATTTTATTTGTTCTTTTTAGATATACGTGACATAAGTGTATGTTTTGATCTATTTATGCAAGCATGAAATATATCTTATTCTATTTAGGCATACATATTCATATTTGGACCATTCACATAAGTTTACATATAAGGAGGAGTAAATATTTTTAAGTGTATTTTAACTAGCAATTGACTTTTTAAGTTAGATATCATGCAAATCATTTGAAAATTTCATTATTAGAAACCCATAGCACTTTGTTTCCTTAATCAAATATACCATTCTTGGTAACAGTTAAATGTAGTACTGGAATAAAATTTGTTAGAGATTTTTGAATATGTGAAAATGACTTCACACCCCTGGCTAAAAGATGAACTAATACTCATCAATGACAGTGTTCAAAACAATGTGACCTCTTCTGAATTCAGAGAATCAATGAAAATGTCAATTACTGCTTGATGGTCAGGCATAAAAGAATATAGTCTTGTCTGTACTTCTCTTGCCCTGCAAGACTTATGCTCCTGTTCTATTTTCTGAACAATCCTAGTAAAATTCAATTTACTTTTTCAATTTGTCTCCAGCCAAGCTTCCTTCTGTCAACTATGCAGACATTTCAATGCTGGCCACGTCAAGTCACAGGAAAAGGACAATGACAATGAAATTACCTGTGCATTTGCGATCTGTGTCTTCCTTTTTTGACCCACTAATAGTCAACTTGCAGTTGAAGTTCTCCTCCCAGTACTCGGCAAACCACACATTTCTTCTGTTGTTTTCAAGGGTGCGAGATGTGAAGTAGGCATCAAATCCTAAACAGAGTTGAAGGAAAAGGTCAGTGTTTATGGGGCTCTCCGGACACATCTAGAAATAAAAACGCCAGTGATGGTTTTTCTTCGGTTTAGTAGACAAGATGCTTTTTATGTCAATCAAAAGCAAAAATCATCATCGATGAAAGACGACAAAAACATATATTCCAAGGTCATGAATGAATCTGCCAGGCTGATGTGTGGCCTAGAAATAACACTGGCACAGTGAAATTTGCATCAGAGAGCCTAGAAATGACATAATGATGAGAACATGTTTGCATTTCTGATGAGCTAAAACAGGACAAAACATTCTCAGCAGTATCATCAAGATAATAACTGCCAGCTAGGTGCACTGGCACACACCTGTAATCTCAACAGCTCAGGAAGGTGAAGGAGGCAGATCACAAGTGCAAGGTCAGCCTTAGCAACTTATCATGCCCCTTTCTCAAAATAAAAAATAAAAAGGGCTGGAGATGTGACTCAATGGTTAAGAGCCTCTGGGTAGTTACTATTATTATTCCCATTTGCAGATGAGAAGATGGCTTAGAAAAAAATAACACATCCAAGATCAACCTTTACACCACCATCTACATTGCTAATTCAGTGACTGACCTAGGAGTATCATTTTAAGAATTCATTCTTTTAGGACAATCCCATCATATAACAGACTCTGTAGTCAAAATGAGAAAAGAAGATTTTTTTTAAGAGTCCATGGATGAAATAAGCTCAACATAAACCTCAATGCTATTCATAAAGAGTGTCCAAATTAGACCTAAGTGACAAGATTCCCAGGACTTCTGCCTTTTTAAGATAATGGAACTTTAAACATCCTGATGGTAGTATAAGTTCTTGTGAGAATGAGTCAAGAAAAAATACTGGATTCAGAGTCACAAAGGACAGACTTCAATTCCAGCTCCACTGATCTCACTATGTCATAGTCTTCTGTATCTTCTCTGTAAATATGAAAGTGGTACCACCTTCTTTCTCTGAAAACTTAGAGTTGAAGGTCAAGAACCAGGGAAGAAGGAGTTGTTTTCACATACTCAACTTATTCAAAGTTTTCCTTTGAGACCATGAAAAAATTGCATCAATTGATACATTACAAAAATAAGAAGTATTCACATACATTTTTCTCAGTGGTTTAGTAGGTAGAAGAATGAAACAATTATGAGGTCAGGTATTGGAATAGGCAGATCACTCAATGGTACAACCGGCTTCACGGTCTGACAGTGGTAGGGCTAAGGCCAGTTTTGGAAAACAGGATTCCTGTCAGATCATTCAAAGAGGCAGATATATCAGATGGATATTACACCATTTAGTTAGTTCTTCCTGACATACCTCTGCTTAGCAGAGTCAGATTTCTTTCAGGGCCTAACAATCTATTGATGTCTCTTTACCAGAGATATTGAAAAAATACTGAATCAATTTTCACAAGTGGCTTCTATTCATTTTCATTCTTGAAGACTGTTACCGTCAGCCAGGTGTGGTGGGGCGTGCCTGTAATCCCAGTGATTTTGCTTCCTACTCAGGGAGGGCTGAGGCAGGAAGATCTAAAGTTAAAAGACAGCCTCAGCAACTGAGACCCTGTCTCAAAATTAAAAAATACAAAGGCCTGGGATGTGGGTCAGTGGTTAAGTACCCTGGGTTAAATCCTGGGTATAAAAATTAAAAAAAAAAAGAAGCATGTACTGTCCAAGAGATCTTCATTTTTTTAAGTTGTATATGGATACAATCTCTTCTATTTATTTTATTTTTATGAGGTAATGAGGAAAGAATCCAGTGCCTCACATATGTTAGGCAAGTGCTCTACCACTGAGCTATATAGCCCCAGCCCCAGATCTTCAAGCTTTTTTTAAAAAATTATTTTTAAAATTAGTTACACATGACAGTACAATGATCTTGACATATCATACATTTGAATCAAATGAGGTATAATTACTCCTTTTTCTGAGTGTACAGGTTGCTGAATCACATTGGTCATACAGTCCTGTATATACATACAGCAATAGTAGTGTCTATTTTATTCTGCTGTCCTTCCTATCTTTCCTATTTTAAAAAAGATCTTATTATAGCCATACATTTATGGTGCCTTAGAGTATACTTGGCATCTCTGGGTAGCTCTTCTTTAGTAAGAGATAAGGGCTGGTTTAATGTCTTCCTTTTGCCTGAAGACACTAAACCCTCACTTTTAGCCCTCACTCCACAACCTAAAGATCCTGCCTATCTTTTTTCATGAACAGGGTATTCAGTACAAGATGTGCAGACCCCAATGTGGAGCAGAGTCAAGGCTAGACACAGAAATTAGAATAACTCTAATAATGTAATTGTGTTCCTTGTTTCCTATTGAATTGAGGCTTTCATCCATCTCTACTAGATCTCAGAAGAAAAATTATCTGAATGCATCTCTCATTACTATTAGTTAAATTATCAGAGTTTTAAAGTATATATCCTTAGGCATGGAGACCAGGATTTTAGTTCAAAGGAAACAGAATCAGAGTTACAACAAAGGAGAAAGATCAATCTTTTATATGAAGCAGATGGAATTCTGAGTATCAATTTTTTTTCCTTTTCCTGGACTGATGAGTTTCATTTCAGAAATTAATCTTCATGCTGTTCTGAAACCAGTGTCCCACTGGGTACATAGTGAGAAACACTGCTAAAATCTTAGGACAAAACTTGGAACAACATACAGAAAACGAATAAGGCTTTAGCTGGCATTATGACTGTAAGTACCTGCTTCTTTCCCCTTTTAAATGGGGTACTGCCCTCAAACAGTCCCTGAAATTTGTGGCTGAGACAACAGAGTGTAAATCAATAGAGACATAATTCATCCCAGGTGGTATGTTTGAGAAGTGACCTTTCCAGCTGTAAGGGGAAAAAAAAATCTCCTACCAGAGTGTGATATAAAAGGAAAGCTATCAGAATGTCAAGAGCAGGGTCAGAGGACAGAGCTGCCTGCTCTGCTGGGGCAGGAGGAGGCTGACAGCTACTAATGGGGCTTTATGTGGTATCAGAAAGCAACCTGATCACAGCCATCTCAGGTCAGTCATGCATTGCAGATGAGAACTGCTCTGTCAGCCCAAGTGCCAAGGAGCTCCCAACACCTCTGGCCTAGACTCTTGGCATTTACTGTTCTGCTTCCAACTCGGGGAAGATGTGCTAAGTATTAAGAGAGATTATCAGTTATACAATACCAGTGGATTAAATAACAGGAAATACAAATAGAACATGAGAATGAGAATAGAGGAGGGGAGAGAGAAACATTGATCAGGGTGAGAACTAGCAGTACTCACTTCCCCTACTGCTGAGAGGGTTATTCTATAAACCACTTTGCAGAATAGATCAGTGTTATAGTAAGAGTCCATGGCACAGGAGCCATGGCCCACACCTTCCCCATTTAGCCAAGGGTGACAGACGCTACGGGGGGGGGGGGGGGAAGAATAGATCAGTGTTACCTATTAATACTGCTAATGTGTGTATTCTAAAGATCCAGCCATTCTACTCTGGGTTCATTTACTAGAGAAAGCTTTACTCATGAGCCCTAGGGTATATGTTCAAGAATGTTTGGAGATGTTATTCACAATTAAAATGTGAAATATCCCAAATGCTCATGAACTATGGGATGCATATACTCTAGCATCCTACACAGCAAAAAAAAAAAAAAAAAAACGCAGTTCACAGAATCATGCAGGAGCCTCACAAGAACAGATGAGCAAACAAGGAACAGAAAAGTCTACTCAGAATTGCTCATGTCATACAAAGTCCAAAATTAGGCAGAACTAAGCCACATGATTTGAGGAGGCAGACATACATGGTCCAACTTTAGAGAAAAGCAATGGAAGTGTTATGGCTGAAATAGGACATTCCAGAAAATACATCATTTCTGAAGGTAGAATAGAGAAGGCAGACAATAGTAGAGGGAAGTAAGGATGTAGGGGCATTGGTCTTGTTACTAAGTTTTCACTCTGGTGACAACATACTTATTTTCAAATGGTGTGCATTTGCTTTATGCTCTATTTCTATAACTCACTAGAATGGGTTGAATCATGTCCTTCAAAAAATGTATTTCCATGTCCTAATATCCCAAACTTCTGAATGGAACTTCTTTTGAAAAAAGAAGGATCTAGAGATGAACATATCCTGAGTATTTCATGTGGGCCTTAAGTCCAATCTAAGGGTCCTTACAACAGACACACAGAGGAGAGAGACAGGGAGAAGGGAAGAAGGTCGTGTGAAAGTGGAGGCAGAGCCAGGTGTGGTGGCATATGCCTGTAACCCCAGGGACTCAGGAAGCTGAGGCAGGGGGATTGCAAGTTCAAGGCCAGCCTCTGCAAGACCCTAAGCAACTTGGTGAGACCCTGTCTCAAAAACTAAAATGAGGGGCTGTAGCTCAGTGGCAGAGCACTTGCCTAGAATATGTCATGCACTGGGTTTAATCCTTAGCACCACATAAAAATAAATAAAATAATGACATGATATTCATCTGCAACTACAAAAATTTCAGAAAAATACTAAAAAGTACTGGGGATGTGGCTCAGTGGTTAAGTGCCTCTAGTTCAAACCCTGGTATTAAAAAAAAAAAAAAAAAGGCAGCAGAGACCAAATGGAAGCAACCATAAGCCACTGTCTCCCTCAAATGACCAGAAGCAGCAAGAGGGAAAAGAGGATTCTCTCCTCAAGTCCTCAAGTCCTCAGAAGGCCATGTCTTGCCAAAACCTTGACTGGGGATTTCTGACCTCTGGGACCATAGAAGAAAAAACAAAAAAAAAAACTTATTTTAAGCATCACAATTGGGATCATTTTCTATGGCAGCCCAAGGAAACTAACAAAACTATAGCAAGTAAAACATTGTTGTAAAGTTGCTAACTTCTCTTTGGTTTAAATGATAACATTTATTTCATCAGATGTCACAAACTGGAGGCTTGTGGAATGCATTTAGCCTGTAGACTTGTCTTGTCCTTTACTATGTTGCACCAGAATAATTTTGAAATCAACATAAAACC